GAGAGTGTTGTGAAACCCCTGGCTTGTGCAGAGCAGTTGGTGGTAGAGCTCAAAGACATCATCAGGCTCAAGGACATTCAGCTACAGCAGAAAGATCAAGCCTACCAGGTACTGTTGTTTCTGTCCTTGCAGAACATTTAGGAAAGCACAGATACCTGTTCATTTAGATTTATCTCTTCATGTAGATTAGTAGAGAATCTGGTCCCAGTTTCCCTAATACAGTAACATGATGTCTACCAAACGTAACTCTGGTTATACGCTAGGTAAGTGATGAATAAACATTTCTCTATTGACCATCCATTGCAGAATGAAAAAAAAGCTTGCAGTAAAAAAAATAAATAACCAAAGACTGCATTCAAAAGCTGAAGTCACTCTGTTGAAGAAACAGATAGAAGAACTGAAGGCACAACGTCAGTCGGGGGAGCCACTCTCCCAGGTACGGTGACTGGGTGGAATGTACATTTTCTCATTCAGAAATGCCTCCCGACATAGCAGAATGGTAAGGCAGATCTCCTCTAATCACAGGCATTTGAGATGGTAAATCATACGGCCCTAAATGCTGTCCTGTCCCAGTGAGCTTGGGGTCCAGCTGGACTATAGGCTGCACACAGGGAGAAGAAAAATGCTACAGGAACGTGGACATGCCATGTCTCACTGTGACCCAGACTTGAAGAGAAACAAAAATAAATTACAGGAGGAAATTGGTACTGGCAGGGAGCATTTAGAGAGGAGAGATACATCTCTTTTGGAGACGTTTCATCATTGGTTAGAAGATTAGGCTACCTCTGAGGCTTATTCCAGCTTTGAAATTCTTCATTTCAATTACAGAATGTTCTGTGTCCTCCATGGCTTCATGGAGTCTTGTGTGCGTGAGTTAGATTACCTGGACTCCCTGGAGGGAGGCTTTCTAGTTTTCAACTGCAACCATGGACACAGTTGAAAACTGGGGACACAAAGGGGAATAAGGGCAGCCCTGCCTTTTGAAGATCAGAGCATTCACCCCATAAGCACTTTCATCGTTTGTCCTCTGTGGTTACAGACACTAGTGTTCAGCCAGCTATTTGGAGAAGTGGAGACTTCAGTCTTGTGGACTTTGGCACGTGGAGGCAGGAATATCACATGTGCACATTATCGTTATTGAGCCCAGATTTCACCTGCATAAGAGATCTTTTTATTTTCTCAATTTTCCTCTGCTTTACCCATTGACCCAGTAGTATTCTTATTCTCAGTTTGCTTTGTTCTTGTGAAGTAGGTTTTAATAATTGATCTAGGCCCAACCCTTGGGGTCACTGGTTAGCTTTCTGGTACCCACGTTTGTTATGTTTTGCTTTGTTTTCTTTTGTTTTTTTTGAGGGTTTATGTTGAGAGGACATTTCTTTTTCTGAATTGATAACCTTATTTAACTTTGCAAAGCATATTTTAAAAGCTCTTCTCAAATAATTTATTCATCATGATTCTTCTTACTGTTTGGTTTTTTCTCTGACAATTCTCTCCCCCACTGGCTGTGGAAACACCCACCTCTCTTCCCATGTTGGTTTGTTCCTTTAACTTCCCCATAGCTATGTCATTAGCTTTTCTAATTATCCATTTTCCATGGTGCTTTTGAATTTAACTTTTAGCTCTGAGACCTCAACCTAAGCAATGTGATCCAGCTCATTTCCTTCTGTTAAATAAATGATCTAAACTCCAACAATCAGTTATAGCAGCACTTTAACTACGATCCACCCAACAGAGGGCTAAGTATTCTGTGGGAAATGTCATTGAAGCAATGATAGCAACTCTGATATGTTATGTGAAATAAAATGCAAACTTATTTGCACTCCAGTAAACAGGGCTAGGTTTCTTTTGGGAGGTGAAATCAATAGAGAGGCAGCATCTCAGCTGAGAAACTCTCAGTCTAAGAGATTGTGGGGAAAAAAGACAAAAAGATTACTGAAAGGTTGGGTTTTCTGCCCTTTTCTGGTGTTTCTCTTCTCACTTGGCAGCTGTAGTTTCCTGAACTCTGTCCTTGGTTCTGCAAGGCAACCAGGCTGTAGTGTTTGAATCAAAGTTTGGTCCTACATGGCACCGATTGGTTTTGTCTTCAGAAAAAAAGCCATCACAATGGGAAACTCGGTGCCGTGTTTCCCAAGGATCACTTCCCAGCATTGTCCTGCTTTAGTTGCTCTCCAGTCTTCCCAGATGGCTTTTCTCTGTCTTATCCACAGTAAGGACTGTTATCTGTGGGAGGGTGATTCTAATGGGAGCTGCCTGGCCGTACTGTAACTGGAAAACCCTAGGATTTTTCACTTGTAGTTAGGTCAGGTGGTTTTTCTTGCTTTCACCAGTTGTAAAGGGGAAATTAGAGCAAAAGATCAAATATATATTAATTGTAATTCTTCTTTTTTTTTTAACGTCCCCATAGCTATGTTATTAGCTTTTTTAATTATCCATTTTCTATGGTGCTTTTTTTTTTTTTTTTGAGACAGAGTCTCCCTTCATTGCCCTCAGTAGAGTGCTATGGCATCATAGCTCAGCCACCTCAAACTCTTGGGCTCAAGAGATCCTCTTGCCTCAGCCTCCCAAGTAGCTGGGACTACAGGCTCCTGACACAACACCCAGCTATCTTTTAGGGACGGGGTCTCGCTCTGGTTCAGGCTGGTCTGGAACCCATGAGTTCAGGCAATCCACCCACCTCAGCCTCCCAGACTGCTAGGGCCCTAATTGTAATTCTTGTAATGAAATGACTTTGTCTCTTGCCTTTTCTGCATGAATAGAATTCTACAGAGGAAGAAATGAAAGTAAAAACTAAACTCCAGGAGAAGGAGGAATTAATTGCTACTTTGGAAGCTGAGCTTACACAGGCACATGCAGAGCAAGCTGCCCAGGTGGGGGTGTTAATAATTTCGTAATTATTAAGGGAACAAATCACCAAAGCTCAATGCAATGTATTTCTCTAGATGCCCAGTGGGTACTTACTGATTTATAAGCGTCCTTCTAACTCTCTTCCTGCCTCCCTTCCTTTCCTGTCTTCCGTCCTCACTTCCTTTTTCTTTCCTTCTTCTCTCCCTCCTGCTTCTGTCTTTCTTTGACCCCTAAACTTTGATGACCCCTTTTTGAAAACCACAATATCTGCAATTCACTTCTGTGTTCCATGGAAAGTAGAGGGAAGTTGGATAGGTATTGAGGGCAAACGAGAAAGGGAGGCCAGAGAATTAAGCATGCTAATTCTTTGGTTAATTGTTTTTCCTTGTGTGTCTTCAGTTCAGTGACACTTCTGCAGAACTGGAAGAATTGATGAAGCTAAAGCAACTGCTCCAGGAGAAGGAGGGACTCCTTAAGGGTTTGCAAGCCCAGCTCAGCCAGACACAGGCAGAACAAGCCGCACAGGTAGGGGTGGACAATACCTAGTAAAATTAGGGGAAGGACCCATGAAGTCCAGTGAGTTTAGACGTGGTTCTTTATTCAACAAGTCACTTTCTAAAGTCTTAGTAGATAAAAGTAGCTAGAGTGTTACAGTAGAAATGAGAAGGGTGAATAATAGGAGAAATCACAAGAAAGGGAGGTGAAAGAATTCACAGTGCTAATTCTTTTGCTTCATTGTTTTTCCTTGTATGTCTTCAGTATAAGGAGATATTGGCCATCAGAAAAGAACCAGTGCTGTTACAACAACTGCTCCAGGAGAAGGAGGAACTTATTAAGGGTTTGCAAGTCCAGCTCAGCCAGACACAGGCAGAACAAGCCGCAAAGGTAGAGGTGGAAAATACCTGGTAAAATTAGGATAAGGACCCATGAAGTCCAGTGGTTGTTAATGGTTAATAATTCGACAAGTCACTTTTTACAGTCTTAGTAGATAAAAGTAGCTAGACTGTTACAGTAGAAATGAGAAGGGTGTGTAGTAGAATAAATCACAATAAAGGGAGGGGAAAGAATTCAGAGTGCTAATTCTTTTGCTTAATTGTTTTTCCTTTTATGTCTTCATAATAGGAGACATCCACAATCAGGGAAGGAGCTGTATTACTCAAGCGAGTGCTCCAGGAGACGAAGGAACTCAAGGCTTTGCAAGCCCAGCTCCGCCAGACACAGAAAGAACAAGCCACACAGGTAGGTGTGGAGAACACCTCGTAAAATTAGGATGAAGAACCGTGAAGTCCAGTGGTTATTAATGGCTAAGAATTCAACACGTCACTTTTTAAAATCTTAGTAGGTAAAAGTAGCTAGATTGTTACAGTAGAAATGAGAAGAAATCCACAGATGTGTAGCAGGTAAGTGTGTCATTAGGGATCACCAGGAAACCTCCAAAAGTGTCATTTATCTTGGCAAATTGGCTATAGCTCATTGATGGCTGTTTCTTCGTTCTACACGTCCAGCAATGATTGACCACCCACCCCACATATTTGTGTTTTGTGAATGTCTTTGAATCGTGAAAGTTTTCTCTGCGGTGCTTCTGCACAGAGCTAATGTTACCATCAGGAGGTTACTTTCCTGGTGGCTCTGCTGTCACGTACCACATGTCTGCTGATTTTTTCTACTACACACCCTTCTCTTTGTACTGTAACACTCCAGCCACTGAGGCTTTCTGAATAAGTGTCAACGCAAGCAGCAATACGAAGGATTTTCAGAGGGAAGGAGGTTGCTCTGAGCGTCATAGTCAAGGAAGGTTACGTGGAAAGGTGGGAGACAGGCAAAACCAGGATGGATAGACAACATTCTAGACAAGCTGGGGGGAAGGTATTTCAGTCACGCGACGTGTGCAACGTCTCAGGAAAGAAAAAGAATATGGGACATTTACAGGAAAGAAGATTAGGTTGTTTGGCTAATGAACGACTCCAATGCTTACTTGAAACACAAGATTCCAAATTCATCATGAGGAGGTCAGAACTCAGGTAATCAATAATTTGAGGAGTTTTTCCTCCTATGAGAGAGTCCAGGTCAAGTCAAGGCATTAGAAACTGAGTTATCAACAATAGTTGAAGGACGAACGCAAAACAGACAAGTGAAGAGCTGGACCACATGCTCAATCCTCCATCTGAAGGAAATCAATAGGTGCCCGCGCTCACACACAGCGTAAAAAAAGACGGAAGCCTTGGTACTAAGCAGCTGGTTGTCAGTCCATTTATTTTCATTTCATTCTCTTAAAACCAGTTGCAACTAAGCATAATCTAAAAGCATGCAAGTAACGACACGTAAAAACATCCGTTTGGGGGTGGCGCCTGTGGCTCAAAGAGGTAGGGCGCTGGCCGCACAAACTGGAGGTGGGGGGTTCAAACCCAGCCCCGGCCCAAAACGGCAAAATAAATAAATAAGAAGCAATCATTAAAAAAAGAAAACAAAATCTGTGTGGGGAGGTGGTGTGTGTTTAGAAACACATCAAATTCTTGCGGAGAATCAATTCTTTGAAAATAAGACTAGAAGGCAATGCCCGTAGGTCGGGGATTAGGGCACTGGCCACTGGGGCTGGCGGGAAATAAATTAATTCACTAGGCACCATAAACCAAAGTTTCCTGCTATTCCTCCAGAATTATTTTCCTTTCTTGTTCAAAAAAAATTTGTTTTTTGAGTTTTCTCACTTTGAAAGAACACATGGTGATACTTTTGCTATTGTTGGAAAAAAGGTCTTACTGAAGGTAAGGTCTTACCTTTTTTTTTTTTTTTTTCCAGACAGAAAATGGCACCTTAATAGTTGGGGCCAGGATGACAGGACCAAGATAGGGCTGGCTGGGCCAGTCAGGAAGCCACTTTTTCCTGCTGGGGTGGGGCCGTGCTCTGGCTCTTCTTCCCCGCTTAGGTCCTAAGCTTGCCACGGGCCAGCATGCTGGTGAGGTTGGTGGAAGCCACCCAGAGGCCCCACAAATGACAGAGCTGAGAACAAAGATGTGATCTCCAGCTGGAGAGTCCTCAGGAGGGGGCTGGGCTCAGCCTGAGCTCAGAGCTCTTCAGTAAGGGTTGGGGGCCAGGGGAGGCTGGGCACTGGACGTGGTGTGGGCCTCCTCATTAGATCCTTACAAGTCAGGACAGTTAGCTCAGCACAGCTTACGGTGACAGAGTTCTTACAATGGGGCTTACCCTCTCCTCTGTTTCAGTTCTCTGAGACACTAAAGGAGAAAAACGCTCTTGGCCTTCAACTCCGGGGCACTATGCAACACCTGCGTGAAAGCCAGGAGCGCTATAACAACCTCTTCAAACACTGCAGAGTGTTGGAGAAGCAGATAGAAGATCTGCAGGCAGCGATTAGCAAGGTGAGAGGCTGGAAGAAGTAATGAGAGTGAGTGTGCCTGACTCAGCGTGCAGAGCCGTGGAAGAAGCTGATGCCATTAGGTGGGAGAGAAAGAGAGAGTTACCTGAGATGAGGAAAGGCTGAGAAATCATCCAGAGTTAAGGTATAAGGAGGAAAAAGGTCAGTGAAGAGGTCAGAGAGAAATCAGGGATGACCATGGTTTTTGGAACTCTGAAACTGAGAAAAGTGTTGGTTTTGCTTGATGTGATAGGAAAACGGTAGGAAGATTTGGATCTGAGAAACACAACAGGCAGCCCTGCTGACAGCAGTGGAGAGGAGGCAGTGCTGAAGTTGGAAGAGAGGGAGGAATTGGTGCAGAGATGAATAGAACAGGAAGGAAGAGAAGGGGTCAGGGTGCTGGGGAGCAGAGAAGGATCAGAGTAGCATCTGGAAACTCCACAAGCATCTACCAGGCCAAAGCAGACTTCAACAGCAAGGCGTTCAGCATTTAAGAGGACAAATTCAAGAATGCGAATCTGGGAGAAAAATCTAGTTAAGCCGAGAGTTTGATATAAGTGATTAACCTGCTAGAGCAGAAGTTTCTCGCTCCTAAATGTTGGCTTGGGAATTCGGAGCAGGGACAGTCTTCTCCAGGGTTTCTCATTCTCTCTGATGCTAAATGAATTCTTGTTTTCCGCAAGTGCACTTTGTTAAGAGCTTTCATCACTGAATTATTAAGCCTATTCCTCTTTCAGGGGCCACAAAACACGGATGCTGCTCCGGGAGCTCACCAGGAAAACACCGGAGAGAGTCATCTTAAAGAACTCCAGGAGCTACAGCAAAGGTAGCCATGGGGCCTCTCCACCCTGGAGCATATTCCGCAGGCACAGAAGTTGGGTGGTCAGGAGCGAGGCTGCCATGGACAATAATCACACCACTGCACTCTAGATTGGGTGACAGAGCAAGACCTTGTCTCTTAAAAAAAAATTAGAAAGGAGGAAGGCACAAAGAGAAAGAAAGGAAAGAAGAAGGGAAGGAAAAAAGACGAACAGTAATCTAAATTGTGCTGAACTCCATATTATCTTACTAGCCTTGCAGAAGTGAGGCTAAGATTGAATAGTTGCAATCGTGTGTGAAAGTTTGTAGAGCAAAAACAGAAATGCCCACATACATATGCCACTAATAAACACTCTGGTATTAAAATGAAAGATAATTCCTAAAATCTCTTAGGATATTTTCTGCAGCTTCAGTTAAGCTCTCCACAGCTATGCTTTTGAGATATTCTTCGTGTTCACACAGGCTTCTGTAAATTGTTCTGCTTTATAACCTGATGAAGACTTGGAACCCCTTGTAGTAACAACTGGGTCTTGCATCCAGTGATTCTGTTTGTTTCCCTTTTATCCTGAAGATTTTCAGAATCCCAGCAGCAGCTGTGCAACAGCAAACAAGAACAAGATGAATTAAGGAAGCTGCTGGAAGCAGAACAACATCGGAGAGTGGCTGCTGAGAGCCAGCGAGTGGCCGCTGAGAATCAGAGGGTGGCTGCTGAGAACGCCCTCTCCATGGTGGAGGAACAGATCAGGCGGTAAAGACTGAGGGGGGTGGCCTCTGTTCACTTCTGACCCTTTCGTGTACATTTCAGTGGCCACACTTAGGATTAGGTGTTTCTCTCATCCCAAGAAAAGTCTTGCAGTCAGTTTGATCTTTGTGGTCACCCAAGGGAACACGATACGTGTGCAGTCTAGATGGGCCAACACTTTCCAAAACAGTTGTTCTTAGAGAATAATGATGTCTGCCATTGATTGACAGCTTACTTCCTAAGATATGAAGTAAGCTATGAAAGATATCTTATTACATCTCAACAATAACTGTGTCACGTAGGTGTTAGGTTCTTTAGAGGGACAAATACGTGGCAACCTCATTCCCCGTCTGAGATCTGAATCAATTGAAATATTTTTGAAAGATCAAAACATATGCTGGATTTAAAGACTCCCTTGCAAAGCTGATAATAACTCATGGTTTGCTAGCAAGTGTGCTTTCTGACCCTGAACTTGCCCTCCTAGTCACAACCCCTGTGGCACAAGGGGAGGCTTTCCTTGCAGAAGAACCGGTTCTTGCCAGAATAGAGGGTTTGAATAACAGAGTGAATTGGGCTTCCTGGGGGCAGTCTGTACCAAGTGTGGTTTGGAAGATTGGAGCTGATACATCCCTAGGTTCTTACTCCCACTTCACCCAAGTCAAGAGACTCACTCTGCATGAGAGAGGAGAGAGTAGCTACAAGATTTGCTTCTAGAAGCACCTGGACATGGAAAGAAACATTACAAACAGGCACTTTTATTTTATCTGCGGAGGAAAAGCCACCTATGTAGACTGTCTCTTCCTCAGACATTTGTGACAGTAATGCCTTCTTCACACATTTAGTTGTCAGGGTGGCAGCCCCAGTGAGCAGATCACATTTGAGATGCCCTTGTTTCTTATTCAGCATATTTACAACTTCTGAATTTTCATCACCCATTTGGGCCTTGGTATGCGACTTAGAGGGTGGCTCTGTGGAACACAGCACGGTCTTCTCTGAGTCTTGCTATCTCTGCTGAGCTTTTGCAGGCCTGTGTGCCTGTGGCTCACTCTCTTCCACTCCTCGTGGAAGTGTTTAGAACTGTTGAAACCTGCCCCATGGGGAGGTTAATCTCCTCCAGGTATGATTAACTTATCCCAGGCCAGCTGAGACTGCAGGTGACTCCCAAGCCTGTGGACATTCTATATTAATCCAAGCTTGCCCACTGCAGTTCCCTCTTTGGCCCTGATGTGGAATGGAGATTGGGGTAGCATTAAAACGGAAGGGCTGGCTTGG